AAAGCACTAAATATGGGTTGCCGTCGCAGTTCGAACGCCAGGCTTGAGAAGAAGGCACTATTAGACTCTAAGCTTTCCGGCGGAACATCTCGATAGGCTTCAAGAGAGAAAATGACTAATATGAGGGCAGTGAGAAAAAGAAGAATAAGAACGATCTCAATCGTGGTAAACTGGTTCCAGAGACAGCCACGATTTGCGACCGAATTGTCACACGGGATTGCTGTCTTCGTGGAGGTTTCGGATGACGTCTTATCAAGCCTAAAATTAAAAGATGGATCAGAGACAGAGGAAAAGTCAAGCTGGTGGAGTGCAGTAGGATATCCTGTTTGAAGCAAAGTATTTATTACAAATGTACTACAGGGTTACAATTTGCAGTTTTATGTGTGCTAGCCCAGTTTGCTCTCCATATTTGCCTACAATACACGCCAATAATCCCTGATATGAGGCGCCATATTAAAGAAAATTTGTCGTTTTAAATTCAGAACGAGTTTTACATTTTGATATTATACGAAATGGTTTCATTTTAGACCAGCCTAGTCTCTATGGGATATGATTTACACTAAGTATTTTAATGGGGCCATCGAGAAAGTCTTTCTTAGGTTTATATCTTAAACGAAAGTTAGGTAGGGTTGGTGCAAGCTGATATTTTTAGCAAATTATGCAATCTGTACAGAAGGAATTTTTGGCGATTCATTGAGATGTGATTTCCCTTTCGCAATGTACCTCACAGGATCGTTTCTTGATCATTATTCTGGACTCCATGCACAAAATACATTATTTGATTGGTCAGTAAAGGAACTACATGATTTTTTCTATTTTATTTGGCCTTAATTAAGATATTGTTGGGAAGACTTTCATTTCTTTCACATTATCTTAATTAAATACGAATATTAACTGGATTTCGATGAATCTCCTGAGGGAGACTTTCAATTCGTATGTAAGAGCATGAAGGAGAGATTCCAAGGACGATCTCACCAGAATAGGACGGTTAATTCCCGTTGTACTGCAGCCGTTTAGCTTTAATAAGATATTCAGGTGAGATAGATCTTCGAATTTCTTCTTCATACACTTAAATACGAAATGAAAGTCTCCCCCAAGATATTTACCTCAGGAGATTCATCGAAATCCAGTTACTCTTCGTATTTAATTAAGATAATTTGAACGACTCTCCCATATTCGAAAAGTTTAAACCTAAATACCAAATTAAAACCAATATAAAACGTCGTGATTTAAGAGGCGCTACTTGCAGTAGTGCATTATTTAAATTAAAATAAATGCCAGCAATTCGTGACATTATTTGCGAAGAAAATTGTTGAGCTCACTTCCATTTAGAATAAAAGTGTTGGGTGAAGAGATTCGAAGGTCGGTTCCACCAGAAGACGACGGCGGATTCCTCTCGACCAGTAAAGCCAATCGACAGCTGGTCAAGAGGAATCCGCAGTCGTCTTCTGGTGGAACCGACTTTCGAATCTCATTACCCAACACTTTCACTCGAAATTGAAGTAAGCTCAACGATCATATTATTGTCCAGCAGCTAGATTGATAATTAGCGGAGTTAGATCTCGAGCCAGCACAAGTTATTTTTTTCTATAGTATCAAAATAAAAATGTATATCCAAATCGAGAAGATTTCAATAGTAAAAGTTACCGTACGATACCACATTTCTTGATCAAAATTATAATTTAATTGCAAAACTCTGAGCATAGGCGTAGTTTCCATCTCTTCCAACAGAATGGGTATCTCCACATCACAATGAAAATAAGGTAAATAAAATAAAACCGAAAGCGTTATGTACACCAGAATTTCATCCGGAAGTTGGCAGCTAATTTGTATTTAAAAATAAAGAGCCTTGCAACTTGGGGTATATGGAGTAAAGAATATATATCGTTTGTACTAATAACATGTTTAACTCAATGTATTAGAAAACGTTTGTTCCGTTTACCGATTGATAGCAATATTCCTTCTCATTTAACAAAATTAAGGCAAATAGTAAGCGGAATCAATCATATGAACTGGTTGGGCTATTTTAAGACGAAGGGGCAAATAAAGAGAAAAAAGACCAATTGCAAGTAGGGGGGCTCTGACCTGCTCGAGGAGCCGTTAACCAGGCCATTTCTCAGCCACTTCTCGGTTTCCTCACTTCGCAAAGCCACTCCCCCAATGGGATCCAAGCCAGTACTCTTGGGTGGCACCGTTTTGACTGCTTCGAATCGGACCACTTCTGAATGTGTTGGGCCAGTTGAAGGCTTTTGGATCTCGGGTTTGTTCGTAACTTGACCAGCATGGCTGATTGCCAACGGAGGAGAGTGGGTTTGTGCTTGCGAAACAGGAGTGGAGTTAACTGTGCGTCTGCGAAGCTCAGCCTCAGCATGCTATACAATAGGGGTGAAAGAAAGTAGTTGCGGATACAATTAAAGATGGTATCTGTTGGCACCAAGCAACACAAAATTTACATCGAGTTGAGTAGCCTTTAGCATACCATACATCTTCTACTTATTCTTCAAAGCTTTAACGAATACATCGGTTTTTAAATCACTCATGGAATCAGTAAATCCAATTAAGGAGCGATATAACTACCTAGTGTTACCTTATTATTTCTACAATAGACCAAGAATTTATCTTACTATTGTGGCTAGCTTGTTGGGTTTGGGTCTTTAGAGATTGTCTTTTTTTGGAGGAAAAATGCAACAGTGTGCGATCTTTAGGCCATTCTGCTATTTAAACTGTCCACTCGCGGTAAGGAAAAACACATATAATCAAAGTACGATCCCAGATTTAAAAAAAAATTAAAAATCAAGAGTAAATGAGGTTTA